AGATGGAATTAGATTTAAAACACCAGATGGAATTAGATGTTAAAACACCAGATGGAATTAGATTTAAAACATAAGATGTTTGTAGAGTTAAAACACCAGATGGAATTATAGTTAAAACACTAGATGGAATTAGAGTTAAAACACCAGATGGAATTAGAATCAAAACACCAGATGAAATTATAGTTAAAACAATAGATGGAATTAGATTTAAAACACCAGATTGAATTAGATGTTAAAACACCAGATTGAATTAGATGTTAAAACACCAGATGGAATTAGATTTAAAACATGAGATGTTTGTAGAGTTAAAACACCAGATGGAATTAGAGTCAAAACACCAGATGGAATTATAGTTAAAACAATAGATGGAATTAGATGTTAAAACACCAGATGGAATTAGATGTTAAAACACCAGATGAAATTAGAGTTAAAACACCAGATGAATTAGATTTAAAACACCAGATGGAATTAGATGTTAAAACACCAGATGGAATTAGATGTTAAAACACCAGATGGAATTAGAGTTAAAACACCAGATGAATTAAATTTAAAACACAAGATGGAATTAGATGTTAAAACACTAGATGGAATTAGATGCTAAAACACCAGATGGAATAAGAGTCAAGAAATTTTCATCTTCAGCAGGACACGATACAAATGCAGAGAGAGAGAGAGAGAGAGAGAGAGAGAGAGAGAGAGAGAGAGAGAGAGAGAGAGAGAGAGAGAGAGAGAGAGAGAGAGAGAGAGAGAGATTAAAATATAAAGAACGACTGTAACTGGAAAATGAAAAAAGGGAGAAAGAAAGAGAAGAGAGACGAAAGCAAATGCAAAGAGTGAAATAAGAAAGATAAATGAAAATGCAAATTTAACAAATGGAAATGTAATATAGATTAAAAGATTTAGAACTGGCAGGCAGAAAGCATCCTTCCATATAAAAACATTCTAGTTTTAATGTTACCAGAAATATTAGGTTAGTACCCCTTTTCAAAGAAAAAGAAGAATGACAAAAGAAAATTGCTAAAAGTTAATATGATTAAGAAAGCATGGGACTTTATTAGTACAAAGTGTACTTATTAGCAAAGCATGGGACTTTATTATTACAAAGTGTACTTATTAGCAAAGCTAGTGAAATATACACTTCACTGCCGGTACAACAACATATCAAATCTATAGGGGAGAAATAAACTGGACGGCCCATGTAAAATCTACATGGGGAAAAATAAACTGGACAGACTCATGTCAGATGTACAAGAACAAAAATTAAACTGGACAGACCCATATCAAATGTACAAAGGAAAAATAGACTGGACAGACCCATGTCAAATCTCCAGGTAAAAATAAACTGGACAGACCTATGTCAAATGTACAAGGGGAAAATAACAACTGTTTGATAGATAGTGCTCATCCAGAAACGTTAAATAAGATTATAATAACCTCAAAACACAAAATGGGGGTCAAGTATTGCATCCGTAATGATATTAAGACCAACCAAGATGAAAGAAATTCGAAAGCTTTGGACAATACTACTCAAATAGCCAATGACTAATCCTTGACTCACAAAGTCTTTGCGTCGTCAATAGAATATTGGCATGTTAATTTTATCATCAAATTCTTTTAAAATATTTTTAAAATCATTAAACTTAGTTTAAGAAAGAATAAAACTGGTGAGTGAAAAAGCGAGAAGTAGATATAGGCAGGTTCGCATGGATTCTCAAGTAACATATTAAAAATGCTTACAGTTTTACCGGATGTACCAACAAACCTGCACTGTTACAAAACCTGTGTTATCCTCCATAAACCTTCTATCTTCTTTAACCCATTTAACACTATTACGCAGAGCTAACATCATCGTCTGGTTTTCTTACGCCCAAACGTCGCAGAAAATGTAAGTGATATGTTACGACACTGTAGTTAAAGTATGTGTGTTAAGGAATTAATTTTGTATAAATCTTTTTTTTTTTATTTCATTTTATTTCATTAAATGTAATTATTAATATGATTATATTAATATCAGTCTAATATGTTGTTGAAAACATCGTGTTTACTTGAGTTGTAAATGTGACTCATCTGAGCACGTGCTGTGTATGATAACAAATTCATTACAAGTAAACATTTAGGAATAGCTATAAAAACGATTGGCTGATAGTTAGGCTTTCCTAATCTCCAGAAGTATTACGAAATTGCATGCGTCCTCGTGCGCGTGTAATTCAAAATACGTATTAGCTTCGTTTATATACCGAGGTATTTTGTAAGACGTTCAGAGTCACGGACAGACAGTCGTATTCGAGAGTCAGTTGGAGTTATTGTAACATCTTAGTTATACAACTTCTATTACCTTAAAAAAGTATGTTTGTGCTAGAAGAAGTTGTCTGTTTGTATCTCTATGTTGAACAACATGTCTTGTTAGTGGAGCTAATTTTACTTCGTTTTTCTTAATAATTGTTTTCCAGGAAAACAATATTACTGATTTGGACAAAGGCATTTTCCATAAAATATTCTAAATTGGCACGAAACAACACAAATTGTGCTTTATTGTGTAAATTCTGGAATTTTCTATTCACCTTCGTCTGACGTGATTATCCGCCATTTTGGACCGGAATTGAACTTCAGATTGTTTTTAGAACTTTGTACAGGACTTATGTTTCTATTTTGAACAAACAATTTGGATCATTTCTATAAATCGTTAGTCTTGTTTAACATATTTAAATTTTTTTCATATTTTCTAGGAAAATAAATTATCTTTGTTAAAATTTACAAAGCTTGTTGTCTTCACTTTCTTTTATGTTACTTTGAACAAGCCGATACGTTACAGATAATAAATGTAAAAAATAATTATTAGATTTCCCTTTTTTAGTTTACTAAGGAAATATGACATTTCTCTCAAGAAAATGTAAAATATTAATATACTTTATAAGGTCTAAATTGATTCGTTGATCAACAAGGAATAATCGAATTGATCAGTTAGGGTAAATAAGCAACTAACTGTTATTAAATTTCTGGATTTGTTTCATTGTTTTGAAAAATGTATTAAATATAAATAATTAACTTACCCTAAATGCACTCTAATTTCAAGAATCCATAATTTTCTCTGTTTCATTCTTCAAAATGGATAATCACTTCCGTCTTAACCAGACATACTAAAAGATGACGTCATTCTTTGGATTGGATTTTCTAGCGCTTCTTGTTTACTGTCGTATTGCTAGTTTGCGCATTGACTGGTTCAGTGACCATAACAATCATATCCCTTAAGAGATTAATTTTAATTGCGCTTTTAGTACTTTTGTACCTCGTTACATGACTTGACCATATTTCAGTATACTACCACCAACAAAACCTCGCTCACTTTTTTACACATTATAAGTAATGGGGTAAATAAATATTAAGGAAAAGGGCTAGAAACAGAAGGTACCTTTCTCAAGATTTAAAGTGTTTTCACTCAAAAGCTTAATACCGATTTGGTTTGGAATTTTAAGGCACAACCTGACCCAAGAATTATATTTTGTTCCGAAGTAATCAGAGCGATCTCATGGCAAAATTTAAACCCGAATTGTTAAGGTTGCTACTACTGCACGCTGACTAGCCATCTTCAGGGGCTCCTGACTCCATTATTTGTCTCTTACAGCCGCAGGAGGGTGCATCCTGCCAAGTTTACATCCCCAACTCTGTATCACTGTTCACGCTATAAATTGGGTCTCTATGTATAATCCTACGAGTGTATTTCTAACAGGAATCGTATTCATGGAGCACGAATACCATCCATAGTGTCATGGAATACAAATGCCTGCCATTGTGTCATGGAATGCGAATAACCGCCATTGTGTCATGGCATACAAATGACTCGGTCGAAGTTTGACCTCATGCATCCGAAGCAGACACTCGAACCACTTAGGCCAGCGGAGCGGTCGGACAGTATGTAAACCTTTGATAATTGTGGTAGATATTAAAATTTCAGCTAAATGTTAATGCCATATTCATTTACAAAATAAGATAATTTTAGTGATATATCTTCTCTGTTTCACCATGATTTAAATATCATCAATATTCAAGCTAAGACGTACATATAATGTCTGATGCCTCTCTGCATTTAAATTAGCATTCCAGACTGCGACCTAATCCATTTAACATGCGGCCTGTAATTTCGTTGTTGTTGTTGTTACAGGGTTTAACGCCATTTTTCAGCACAAGATAGGCTATTCACGGCGGCCAGTATTAATGGTGGAAGAAGAACCCTGGAAAACCTCGGGAAGAACCACTGACATATGAGAAGCTTTCTCACGTACTCACGTTAGCCGAAACTGGACTGAACTCGCACAGAGGTGAGATGTCAGTGATCTGCAACGGTCAGCGCTTTAGACCACTCGGCCACTCGGGACCCCTTGTAATTTCATTTTGAATATGCGAAATAATGCGTGCAATGCCAATTATATTTTGAATAACGGAGAATAATGTGTCGCCAACCAATTACATTTTTAATACAGGGAATAGTGCATGACCTACCAATTACATTTTGAATACAGTGAATAGTGCTTCGCCAACCAATTATGTTGTGAATACTGATAATATTTTGCATGTTGTACAAATTTACAAAGGATATCAATTGTATTGTTTTATTGCTACAGACCACAAATTAAAAGACCAACACACAACTAGTCTCCGAGGAGACAAAAGAAACACCTTAAACCATATGCAAATTTAAGGACCGATAAATATACCGATATTCGCAAAGCCTTGATGTTTGATCCCCATTCCCAACACCATCACAACAAAACACGTGAGAGCACGCATAAAGGGTTTGATGCGACGGGGATGGGGATTGGGTTGAAAGGAACATCTACTTGATGGACTATATTACAGACGTGCATGCTTTGTCATAAATCGAAAGGCAGTAACACCCAAAATGGCTTTCTTGTAACGTACAAGATAACAAAACACATTTCAAAATATTATTTGTAACTCTTAAATACGCAATTTATAATATATTAAAATCTTGAACTATTAGAGACGCTCCGGTTGTTTAGTGGTTAGAGCATCCACCTCAGATACGAGAGGTCGTGGGTTCAATCCCCGATCGAGTCATACCAAAGACTTACAAAATGGTACTAACAGCTGGTTCGCTTGGCGCTCAGCATTAAGAGGTTAGTGTTAGAACTGGTCGGCTTGGTGTAAGGATAATGCAACTGGATGAGACATCATGCTACATGTCTACTGCATGATTCCCCAGTGCTAGAAATCAATATAAACTGCCACACTGCAGACATCATAGCGATATGACTGAAACATTGCTAAAGCTACGTTAAATATCATAATCACACACTGACTTGAACTATTAGACATTCAACTCATATTATCTGGCATGACTGTTATTTATTTATTTAATTATTTATTTATTTCAAGACTGATAGTTATTTGCACCTGACGTATGCTTGTCATATTATCTACCATACGACCATAATGACGATTACCGATTTAAGTTTAGCAAGATCAAAGTCACATACACACAAGTTTCTTTTACTGCTATATTTTCTTGTCTATTTAAGAACACTCTCCGTTATAAGATGAGTTCTTTTTATATGAAAGGGCTGAAATTTTAGAAATTCAATGCAATTTTTGCATTATTCAAATGTGTATTGTATTTTTTATTTTTGTGTTCAAAGTTAGCGAATTCTCTAATCTGAAATAAATTGTACAAGTTTTCAGCTTGATCAAAAAGTTCTTGGCTAGCGTTTATTAGTACATCAAGAAGAAATGCTAGTGGAGCCGATTTTTCTGTGATGACGTGTGTGAATCTAAAGAACAGGTATTGGAAAGGATGTGAACTGTGAAGTTAAATGGAAGCTGAAAGTGCCCATGCAAGAGACGTTGTTTGGAAAACAAAATCATTATATTACAGTTCGTAAGTTATCTTAAAACTCTAGAAAACGGACCATGTAATTTTTCTTAACGATCAAGCATGTTAAATTAATCATCGAGGTCAAGAACTCATGACCTCAGTAAAAATTAATAGAATAATTTTAAATTTAGATAGTATATCAATTTAGTAAAATACTCTTCTATAAAATGATGTTGTATTTAGAAATTTTTAAACATTGTCTATCGTTAATTTATTTGACGTGTAATTATTTACATTATATTCTAAACACAAATTCTAGAATTGTAAGAAGTTGGTAAGGTTGAAGGTATATTACAATTTTATATTTTTATACAGAAAATGTAACACTAATGTATTCGTGTTCTATATCCGGATTGTATTTTTCTATGCCAGATATTCTAGAATTTCAATAAAGCAATTTTCTGTGAGCTTCATGATGAATAGTTCGACTTTTCTTTACAGTTAACATTTTCTAGACACAAAGCTCATTACCTAAAATAAATAACCTTATAGAAACTTCTTAATGTTTACAAAATAAAATGTTAGTTATTATTTGAAGGTTTGTTCATAAAATTATAATATATATATATATATATATATATATATATATATATATATATATATATATATATATATATATATATATATATATATATATATATATATATATATAACCTGGACGATGTCAGGTAAACCATGTAAATTGTAGGGGAATCCCAATAACGTGGATCCAGACCTAAATAAATATTTACTTTTATTAATAATGATCATGATAATAAACCTATACACATAAAAAATATGTTAGCTACGTATTAGTTGTTTACAGAATATTGGTTTCAAAAATCTGTATTTCAGTTTATGTAGAAAATAAAGTTGACAAGGTTAAGTCCAATATATAATGTGAAATTGCAAAAGCATATAATGAAATTATTCTTTTTTTAAAAACAAAATGTGAAACAATGCAAATTAAATATAGGTATCACAGTCAATTGATTGGGAATGATGAAGAGAACTGTTATTGTCAATCGTTATCATATTACTATCGGCTGAAATTACCAGACAAGTTCATTTTCATAAAGATTATGAGAAAATCTTCTTATGACATAGTTTTATATATGAAAATAAATCTGATTTGTAATATTAAGGCCACTTTAGCTTTCTTAAATTTAAATTTTACACATCTCTTTACTTTCTTGAATTTGCCTTACTTTTTCATCATCATCAAAATCACTATTATCATCTTTCTCTTCTCCTCCTTCAGTCAAAGTTGGAGAGAAGGAATATCAAAAGGTTTCTTATCATAAGAAAGACACTAAAATTTTTAAATAATCTCGGTATTAACACAAAAATAAAATGTCAACATATACCCGATAGGTAATACGCATCTTCACTCAACATACGTAACCTTGGCACAGCACTTAAGTGAGAGTAATGATTATTTGCTTTAAGATAGGAAATTCGTCTTTTTCTACAGGTGACGATTTTCTTTGATATTAGTTTAGGATTATTTTGATATCAGAAAGAAACCTAATCATTTTGACCGACGAGTCGAAAAACTCTTATTATGGAAAACTTGATTTTCTAGAAAATGCTTTTCTCATTCACAACTACTTGCCACATGCCAAAGGTTTTGATCGGATGGCGTTAATAATAGAAAAAAGATCGTTACTTCATTATGTTTGATTTCTTACTACGCTATACGTTAAAAAAAGCAACAGAAAGAAACGAAACCAGCAAGTTTAGTAAAATTATCAAATAATTTATTTCTTTTAGTTACATAGTAAAAATTTAAGAGGAACTTAAAAGTATTGAGTGTTAGAAATGAATTCCAAGGTCAAATGTTCTTACATACCAATAGTTTTCAACTTGTCGTTGTTCCAACAGTCTTGATGTATTACAATGATATAATCCCAAATGTCTTTGGATGAATGCAGAATAATTTTAAGCAGATTTTAGTCCAAGACATCAATGAGCATTTTGTAATTCTAATGAATAATTTAAAATAAATGTTCCTTTCAAATTAGTTTTGAACACAACGGTAAATGACTCATAGACTGAAATTAAAACAGGAATACATACGTTATATTTACATCTTCTTATAGATTAATTTCAGGAGACCAAGTATAAAAAAGTGATCAGGATGTGGTTCATAAGTTGTTTTCTTTAAAGAATATTCCAAATAGGGCTATACTCTTAACTCTATCAAAAAACATCCTATTTATAACTTACAAACAGGTCAAAAATCAGGTATACACAAAACGTATCATCATTGATGTACAAAATCAAATTTACAATATAAATTAAACATACATAACAAACCGAATCTCCTTTAGAAAGGGGAATTAAAAAAATATAGAGGTTTTGATCATTTTCCTTTAGTTCTCTAGCTAATGCAGTCAGTCAATGCATTAATGATTTTATGGTATTTCTATTCATCGCTCATGTAGAAGCAGATTTAAACAGAAATAAACAAAGTTTCATATAAACTATACGTTCAGTAAATGAAGATATTTGCTGTATTTCTGGCTTTTTAAATTTGATTTTACTTTTTATTTCCACATTCTTTACAATATATTTTCAGTACATCATCATCATCATCATCATCATCATCATTATCATCATCATCATCATCATCATCATCATCATCATCATCATCATCATCATCATCATCATCATCATCATCATCATCCCTTAACCCAAGAGGTTGTTGAAAGACCTTCAATACTACGGAAAGAATATAAACCAGTCTAGCAAAGGCAAGTAACTAAAAGAAACCCTAAAACTTTATGACAGCCAACGTAAGTATATCGGATGTTATCTCCCATGGATAACTAGTCGCTGCATTCATTCCATTTTTTTTTTAAAAGGCATTCTGAAAAACACAAATCAATAGAACAATAATAAGAACGATTTTTTACTTATTTTTTAAATGTTTAAATTATAATAATGATTATTATTCCATTGATAATGAATTTATCCAACAACAAACTCAAGTTTATATTCAGGTAACTCACAGGTTCGACTAATGCCATTTTACTTTATCAATTTCGGCTTTTAAGACATTTTGTTTGTATTTTTCTATCACAAATTCATTTTTCTTCAATTTCTTTTTTGTTTCTGCCCTTGTATATGATTTATGCGCTTTTGTATTATAATGATGTCGCCTCTTGTTCTTAGATGTCGATATCTTAGTCTGTTGAAAACAAAATAATCCTTGATAGTTTCTTTGGTCCAGTCCAAATGCAGTTCTGCATATAAACAAAACTTGTGTTCCAGTCCAAATGCAGTTCTGCATATAAACAAAGGTTATGGTCCAGTATAATTGAGACAATGCAGTAAAGTTTGGTCACACAAATATAGTTAATTTTGATCATAGCAAAATAGTGAATTTAACAAAAACGTGGATTACAAAGTATTTTCCCTTTCAATTGACAGAAACTTCACGCTGATGTTTAGAGTCCCGCAGAGTCCTCTGTTACGTTCTAAAGCGACGAGTTCCATGCTGTGAATCATTTCATAAAATGACTTACTTTTTAAATTGACAAGGTCCATGTTGTTGATCATTTATTTCATAAAATGACTTACTTTTTAAATTGACAAGGTCCATGTTGTTGATCATTTATTTCATAAAATGACTTACTTTTTAAATTGACAAGGTCCATGTTGTTGATCATTTATTTCATAAAATGACTTACTTTTTAAATTGACAAGGTCCATGTTGTTGATCATTTATTTCATAAAATGACTTACTTTTTAAATTGACAAGGTCCATGTTGTTGATCATTTATTTCATAAAATGACTTACTTTTTAAATTGACAAGGTCCATGTTGTTGATCATTTATTTCATAAAATGATTGTTACCAAAAGCAACAATGTCGTAAATCATTTATTCATAAAGCGATACGCTGTTTTTAAAATGGCATCCATGTTGTATATCAATTATTTTATAAAATGATTCTCTATTACTTTTAAAGTGACAAGGTCCATGCTGAAAATCATTTGTATCAAAATGTTCACTTTATTTACTTTCTCGATGAATCATTCTCCTTTTCTAGTGCAAAGTAAAGTCTTTCTGGTTATCATGATATATTAGTCTGCATGTACCAAAACTGGGTAGATAAACATTCCACTCTAGTGTTCGACTATTGAATGGACAATCCAGTGTACGAATATTCGTGGATAATCTACTCTTGTGTACATATATTC